ACGCTGGTGCCTTGGGACACGGGACCCTGGCTCCGCTGGGGCATGGCGAGGGCAGGAGCCCAGGGACGGGAGCGGGGCATCTGGCGAGCCTGCGGGGGCCTGCTCAGCAATGGACAGTGCCAGGCGCTGGAAGAGAGAGGGGGATCAGCGATGCAGGGACAGTGACGCCCTGAAAGTCCCTTCCTGATCCTTTCTCTTGGTCCCTTCTCTGCCTCCATCCTCCCCTGCTGTGCTTCTCTCCAACAGGGAAGGAGGAAAGTCACCCCCAGTTTTATGCTGCAAAGCGGCCAGCACCCTGTCATCCCTTGGTGCTCCGGGTCTCCAGGTGCTGGAGGTTTTGTGAGCAGCAGAAAGGAGATGGGAACCGTGTTATGGGGCTGGGAGCCCTCCAAGCCCGTGCTGCTCCGGCACATGATGCTGTAGGGGAAGCCACCGGTTTTCCCGTGCTGGGGCAATGGATGGTCACTGTATGGACCTTGTTCTCCCCGTCTCAGAAAACCCTCCAAGATAGCAAGGAGAGAAAACTCCCTGGTGAAACGGGACAAGGCAGCAGAAATTCAGCCTCCAGAAATGCCCTGTTTCCCTCTCTCCCGCGCCGCCTTGTTTCAATGAGGTGACATTATTCCATGGGAAAACTCCCAAACAACTCCAAAACAGTTACCAGTGCCGGCACCGCTGTGAAACACCCCACTCAGCCCCCTCTGCGTGGGTGTCAACAACTGGCCCCCGCGAGCCAGGAGGAGGATGGGTGACCCAGCGAAGCCTGGGGGTTGTTGCTTCTGCATCCTCTGCGTGGTTAAACACGGGACGCCCCGGGACGTCGAGGGTGCTAGATCGCCCTAAACACCTCCGTCTGTGCTCGTAGCTGGGCTTGTGGGGCCTGCTGTCTGCCCCGGCCACTGTGGCGCGACCGCTGGGGTACATGCAGCTCAGGCCCTCACCAGCCCCAATTCGGGTACCCCCTGACATCCCCTCCGGCTTGGCAAACCCCTCGGACGAGACAACCGAGCCATGAGGTTCGGGAAACCAATCGTGAAAAAAAAAAAATCCATAAAGGAAAGAGATCCAGGCAAAAAAAATAAATATATGCTGGGAGGATTTATGGAGCTGCCTGGCTGTTCCTGAACCCGTCTGCTGGCTTAATTTTGTGTTTTGTGGCGGTTATAAAATGCATCTTTGCACGTGAACCTCAGCTCGATTAGTGCTCGCCGGAACGAGCGCAGCC